TCTGACTTCTGATAACAGTGTCTGCTTGGCAATTGATCTTTTTCCGGTCACTTCATATAAATCAAGTCTTGTGGGCTTGTAAGAGACTGCAAGTACCTTGCGGGTAGGGATCATATTTTATATTTTTTCTTTAATCCCACATATAGCATTTAGTACAATGCTGGGTAGATGATAAAGGTTTAATAATTATTTTATTTTTTATTTTTAGGGGCCAGAGTGAAGTCCATTGCAGCAGGGATTGAGGGAGATGGTTGGCTTCCAAGTTCAACCATGCATTAATTATATGTATTGATTTTCCACTGTTTCTCCAACTGTAAAATGAGAGTGGTAATCCTTGCCTTTTTGAAGAGCTGTGAAGGATTTTAGACTTCATAAGTGAATGGTGTTCTTTTTATAGTATCCCTTCATCTCTTATTTAACCCTATGTAGATTATCTATTTTATAGATTATTTGTGAAAACTAAAATCTCTGATTGCCTTTCTCTATATCAGTTAATAGGTTCGGTGGAATACTATTGTGCTATAAGAAATGATGAACAGGCTGACTTTAGAAAAACCTGGAAAGACTTGTATGGTCTGATGCTGAGTGAAGTGAGCAGAACCAAGAGGACTTTGTACACAATAACAGCCACGTTATGCAATGACTAATATTGTTAAACTGAATCCTTCTCAGCATTACAAGGATCTAAGACATCTCCAGAGGACTCGGGATGGAAAATGCTGTCCACATCCAGAGAAAGAACTATGGAAGTCGAATCGCTATCACTTATTTTTACCTTCTGTTGAATTTTGTTTCATCTTTCTGATGGTTCCTCCTATTGGTTTTAATTTTTACTAACAACTTCACTAATGTGAAAATATGTTTCATGGGTATGTAAATGTAAAGCCTATATCAGATTGTGCGCTGTCTTGGGGAGGGTGGGGGGGAGGAAGGGGGAGAAAAATTTTCAGCTCAAAAGCATATGGAAGTGATTGTTGATAAATCAAAATAAATTAATAAAATTAAAAAAAATAAATGGTCTGGCTCACAAGAAAAAAAATTAATAGGTTCTGAATCATCTCCCCTATCAGTTTCTATGAGACAAAGAAATGCAAATTAATTTTAAAATCTATCTAAGCCAAACATAATAAAAAAGGTAAATTTGCTGGTACTAGAAAAAAATTTCTAAACTCAAATAGAAATTACGTATGTGTTATCTGTTACTTTGGTATATACTTTAAGGCTGATAATTTGAAGTTGGTTAATAACAAAATCTTTTGGGCTAATGGAATCATGGGAAGGTATGAAAGTTGTTGGACTAAGTTCTCAAAATAATCCATCTCATATATTTTTATTCCTTAATACCTAACAACTCTTTTGGCAATTCATAACCACAGAATATCAAAGTGGGAAAGAACCTTAGGGTTTGGAGTTGGACGACCCTTAGAGATCATAGGATTGTAAGATCTAGAGCTGAAAGGATATTCAGAGACCATTTTATCCACTCCTGAATTTTAACAAATGAGGAAAAAGGCCCAGAGAAACATTGTTAATGAGTAGCTGTCAGATCTAGGAGCTAGTAGACAGATCTTTTCATTCTACTATAATATAGTTTGTTGACTTCCAGAGATAGTTTATTCCTTGGGAAGAAATAATCACATTCTAGATACTATATGGGAAAGGTATGGGGCAGCTCTCCTGCTATGTTCCTCTGTCAGAGCATCTGACTCCTTATTTAGGTCCCTTTCAACTGCAGAGCTGGAGATGGTGCAGGTTGAGGGGCTGCTTCAGTGCCTAAAATGTCGTTTGTTTCCTTTAAAATCAAAGAAATTTATTCCGAGCATTGCCACACCCAATTCCTTCCCAATTTTGATGTGCCACAATAATGTTTTCTGAATGTAGTCGAGTGGGTTCCCTCAGATTCTGAGCTACAGTTTAAAGCCCAGGCAACCTGTAGCAGGAAAAAGGAGGAAGCCGGCAACATCAAACTGAATATCTCCTGCTCTTTGGGGGGGGCATGTGCTTGCCTGATGCAGCATCCTTGAGCTTGCTGCAGATGAAGAGAGAGTGATGGGACTAAAGGCCAGTAAGGAAGATGAGGGCCTGGACCAAGCAGAGAAAGGGGGTAGAACCCTAGCATGTTATAGCTGTAGACTTAGAAGGGATGTCAGAGATCAGCTAACCAAACCTTCTCATTTTATGAATGAATTCTGTCCTAATCTAACCTGGGGTAGGAATCCTAGGTAACCAGCAACCACAAACAAGGCTCCTTTTAGCCCTGATATAATCATAGATAATAATCTCCCCTCCTACCCCACTGCTGCCCCATTTTACAGATAAGGAAACTGCAGCCCAGAGAGATTGTGACTTATCCAAGTTTACACAGGAAATAAGTTGCAGAAGATTCAGGTCCTTTTGCTCCAAATCCAATGCTCATTGCATTGCATTAACCTGCCTCTTGAAAATAGGTTGCAGCATCAGCAGTGTTGGCCAGGATTTCATAATATCCAGGGCAGATTTGTGTATAATTCTAGTACCGTTGATTTATGTCACACTGTAAGTTAGGGCATCCCCCAATGGTTATACTGCAGCCAAAGGGATAAGAGTGGTGTAACACTCCCCACCCCCATCTCGTGTGCTTCTGCCAATGCCATCATTTCAGCACACCTGGCAGGATGTGCTGCTGATGGCTACCCACAGAGAGCTCAGGATGAGAGCAGCCAAGGCTGTGTTGGAAAGGACTTCGGTTTCTGTTGAATGAAAACTTAAAAGTCCTTTCTCAGAGTTCTAAGGGTGTCTAAGTGGATGATGGGAATTTATCCTACCTGGATAGCACCACCTGCTCTCTGTGCGCTCCACTCTTCCCTCCTTTTCCTCCCCTGGTAGCATAGTCTGTGGTCCTCTGTGTCCAGTGAAGAATCAAACAGAGAGGTCCATGCTGGAGTTGAGAATTCTAGGGACAGTTAATTTGTGAATTCCTTTTTTCATATGGTTGGAATAGCTCTTCAGAAGTCATCTTGTCCATTGCTTCACTTTTAGCCACAACTATACCTAAAAGGCAGCTGGGAGGTACAATGGATAGAGTGCTGTGCCTGGAGTCAAGAAGACCTGAGTTCAAATTTGACCTCAAGACACTTACTAGCTGTGTGACCCTGGGCAGGTCACTTAACTGTTTGCCTCATTTTTCTCATCTGTAAAGTGAGCTGGAGAAGGAAATGGCAAACCACTCCAATATCTTTACCAAGGAAAATGGGGGTCACAAAGAGTCAAAGAAAACTCAATAAAAACAACAACACACCTAAGTTTTGGCTACTCCTCTACCTTAGAGTGCCCTCTCCATCCTGGCCTGTCTAAACCTGCCCATTCTTAAGGCTGTGATTCATTCTTCCTTCCCTCCATGTGGCTTGCCCAGGGCTTGCTCAAGCCCTTCCCCCTCAATTCTCTTTTCTCTAAATTCCTACATCATTTGCCTCTCCAACACATCATGTAGCACCTCCTTACATCTTGTTACTTATTGTTCTTTAATTGTTTCACATTTTAGTCTTGTTTCCTAAGTTAGACCACAAACTTCTTGAGGGCAGTGTATAGTACTTTTTTGTTATCCCACGGGTACCAAGCAACAGATTGGTAGTGTCTTGTTAACATATATAATAAAGTCTGAATAAATTCTTATTGAGTGATGAGAGACAGCATGGCTTAGTGGGTAGAGATTGAGAACCTTCCTTGAAGTCAGGAAGACACTAGGTTGAGGTCTTGTCTCTGACACAGACTTGTGTTTTGTGTCTATTTCTGTCTATCCCATCTGAACATTTAAATCATGAACTCCCCTTTACTCTTCTACTCTTTACTTGCCCGTGATGTTAACATCAATATTTAAACATTCACAGAATCATGGGTTACTATGGGTTGCCATGTTTGAGTATTTGAGGATCAATGATTTAAAACCAGGAGCAACTTTAGAGGTTATCCAATTCAATCCCTCAAGTTACGGATATAGGCCATAGGCAAGAGTCACCTAGCTCTCAGTGTCCTAGGCAGCCCTCTAAGACTGTAGGTTATAGTTTGTGGTCTGCATTGGTAGAAGGTGTTTCCGTACATGGAGTTCCTACTTTGATAAAGTTGCAGGGCAAAAAGGGGGGGTAAGTCAATTGATAGATGTGCATTCTGTGTTATCTTAGATTTTAACATGTTCACATAGGGGTGTTTGACAACTTCCTTCCATCACTTTTTCCACTGTCTGATGAACCTTATGATCAGGCTGATTATATTCCAACTCTGAGCAAGTCCCTCTTGCTATAACTTACATCCATTTCAACTTGACTGCTCAGTGGAGATGGAGACCATCTGGTCATACTTCTGAGAATATCAGCACAGTTTATAAGGAAGAGTCAAGGGGGGAGAGGGCAGTTTTTACTTTAGTTTTTTTTTTTTTGAGGCAATTGGGTTTAAGTGGCTTGCCCAGGGTCACATAGCTAGTAAGTATCTGAGGCTGGATTTACACTCAGGTCCTCCTGACTCTAGGACACCCTCTCCATAGAAGTCAAGCTGGCATTTTGGTTGTTCTCTATACACTGCTTTTTATCTCCTGCCCCTGTGACTTTGAGAGGCTGTCCTCTGTGCCTGGAATACTCTCCCTCCTCAACTCTGACTCTTGGAATCTTTAGTTCCATTCAAGGATCAGCTTGATTGAGTACCACCTCTAGAAAGGGGCCTTCTCCTGATCACCCCAGCTTTTAGTGCTCTGTCCTCAGACCCAGAAATTACTTACTTAATCTGTATGCCTGTTGTTATACTCAGTAAAATGTAAGCTCCTTGAGGACAAGGACGGTTTCATTTTTGTGTTTGAATCTCCAGTGTCTAGGGTAGCAACTTAAACCCAGCAAACACTTAATTGAATTGAACTTGCTGCTGCTTGGAATAATTTTTTTTTTATGCCCTCCCACCTGCTTTGAAAAAAAATCCACCAACCATAAAATTTTTCCTATGTCCCTTTTTCTATCTTCCTCTTTCTTTTTTTTTTTTTAAAGCAGCAACAGACTAGCCAGCCATATTATAGAGGTGGAAATAAAGCTGCCCCAATATTATAAATGTCTTTAAAATAAATCCGTGCATTTTTTTTTTAGCATCTAACCACTGCTCACCTTGCAGCCCTGAGTTCCCAGATCACCCCCTCCCAGCCCCTAACCAAACTACATCTCAGTCCTTGAAAATGCACAGAGACGCCTGGCTCCCTCGCCCATCCTTCTGTTTCACTGGGCTCAGTCTGTTTTTCTCTCTGGGTAAGTTAGACTGTCCATTTGCATGCTCCTGATGTGGAAAAACAGCAGCTTGAGCTGGAAGGGGTCGTGGAGAGGGGGACTTTTTAGGGTGTAGCCCCATGTCCTAGTTGTGGGGTGGGGGTAGGGATAGACGTTGCTCCTGAGCAAGAGATGCTGTTACTTGCTTTTGACATAGAAATTTGGGGAGGGGTGTGGATTCTGTGATACTCTCCTCTGAAAACTGTAAGCCACAAATGGCAAAGGAGAGCGTTCTTCCTTCAAGTGTTCCTGAGAAAGATGGGGTTTAGGTGAAGGTGGGGAATCAGGGCAGAGGACAGATTGAATCTGTCTTATCTCTTTCTGGGATTTTCAGACTTGTTCCCACTTGATGGGGGCTTAGGATTGAATCTGATGCCCTAGTTGGAAGGGTCCGTCTACGTCAGGGACTTCTGTTTAGAGTTGTGGTTCTTGGTTCATGGGTGGATTGGGGAGCCTGGAGAGAGCATACAGAGGCTAGTGGGGGCAGAGTGTCTTCCTTTTACACCCTGGTTCACCAAGAATATTGGTCATTATTATTTTGGAAGTGTGTATGGAGGAAGGAAGAAGGGAGTCAGGTTGATTTTTTTTTTAGATAAAGGCATCAGGTGAAAAACACTTGAGGGCAATGGAGAAGGTATAACTTAAGATGGAGGCTGAGGAGAATCATACCCCACCCCACCCCACCCTTCCCCCAGATGAACTACATGGACCGTGAGGCTTGTGAATTTTAAAGCTGGGCTTCATAAATGCCTGATTAAGTCTTAACAAGATAACCTATCTGCCCCCTATACAGGGTGAGATGTGCCAGGTGAGAGGTTCAGAATATTTGTACCACTTGTCTCATTACCTGCAAACTTACTACAGGTCAGCCTGTCCGCCTGCTAAGCGGTCTGGGAAGTTAATTTACCTGCCCAACTTATAGGTGCTCTTTGCATCTCCTTTACTTTTTTAACTTAATTGTTTCTGATGCACTGACTTGGGGGTTTGCAAGCTCAAAAAATCACCATGCACTGGGCAAAATGACCTAGAGAGGCATAATCTCTGTCTCCTGGCAACTTATGTGATAAGATTGATCCCCTCATATGGCATATTGAACTATTGATAGTATAATGTAATGGAAACCACACAGGAGTCAGAGTCAGAGCACTTGGGTTCAAACCCCAGCCCTGGCACAAACTGCGTATGTGACCATGGGCAAGTACGAGCCTCAGTTTTCTCATCCGTAACTTGAGGGATTGAATTGGATAACCTATAAGTTGCTCCTAGTTTTAAATCATTGATCCTCAAATACTCAAATGGCAACCTCTAGTAACCAGTGATTCTGTGAATGATTAAATATTGTTGTTAACATCATGGGCAAGTAAACAGCAGAAAAGGGGAGTTGGTGATTTAAATGTTTAGATGGGATAGATCTGGGAGAAAAGGTCATCTGACTCATAACTGGGGAAGAAAAACCACTCAGGAACTGGGATTTCAGGAACTTCTTAAGTGAAGGAAGGCTTGGTGAGTTAGGGATTAGATTAGGGCAAGGAGGCTTTCTGGGTATAAAGTGCCATTTGGGAGATGAAAGTGGAATCGATGGAAAATAAATTTGGGAGGAATCAAGGAGGCACTAATAATAATAGCTAGCATTTATGTAGTGCATTAAGGTGCACAAAGCACTTTACAAATATTATCTCATTTGATCCTCATAATAACCATGGGAGGTAGGTGCTATTATTATCCCCATTTTACAGATGAGGGAATGGAGGCAGATAGAGGTTAAGTGATTTGCCCAGTGTCACAAAGTAGTGTTTGAAGTGGGATTAGAATTTGGGGCTTCTTGACTACAATCCTGTGTACTATCCACTATACCACCTGCTATAGGACACTATAGAAAAGGAGGAAGGGTGAGGGAGTGAGATAATATGGGAGGGCTAGGCAATTTCTGGGGTCAAGGGCAGGAAGGATTTTGCACTTGATGCATATTGTGAGAAGCCCCTATGAGTCTCTAAACAAGGGGTATGGGTTGAAGAAGGTAGCTTTGGTAGAGGCAGAGTTGATAGGATAGAGCAGTATTTTGGTTGGGGAAGCCCTTCAGTAGGAGACAACAGCGATTCAGGGCCTGCATGGAAGTGGGAGATTATGGAGACAGTAGGAGGGTACTTGGCAGGATTCGGCAGCATGATGGCTATATGGCAAGAGAAGCAATCGATGCTTCATTTCTGGATACAGTTTTCCTTTCTGTGGTTCCACTGGGATAAAGCCAGGAAGGAAGCCTGGGTGGTGATGGGATTCCCAGAGTCTCAGAGTTTTCTGTTAAGCCTTACCAAGTGGAAAGGGTAGAGGTTATGTTTTAAGTAGGCTTGGCAAGTGATGGAGAGAGACTTGTCTCTTAGCTCCATGCTTGAGATACTCTACCGGGGTCTGGAGAATGGAGGCTCCTTGGATTTCTGCTTCTGCCTTCTCCTTATTCCACTTAATGCCCGTATTCACCTAGGCCGATAGATGATGCTCAAGAAGGCTGTGAGAGCCACTAGATGGGGAATAAGAATACCTCAGTTCTCTCCAATTTGTCACTCTCTACATCATAGAATCCAGTACAGTCTACAGCTGGACAGGATTGTTCTCGATAACGTCCATAACCATTCGGCGTCCAACTGAACACCACCAAGGAGGGGGCAACCCAGTTACCTCAAGGAGAAGTCCCTTCCACCTTTGGGTAGCACTAATTGTTAGGAGGCTTTTTCTCACTTCACCCCTAAGTATACCTCTCTGCCTCTGTGTGACCTTAGCTAAAGACATCAAGGGCTTAAGGAATAGCCCTAGGAAAAAGAAACAAAAAAGACTTGAGAAATCCGGGGGAGGGGAGTTGGATGGAACAGCAGATGCAAATTTAATTTAACCCTTTCCTCATCTCTTTTAAGTGTCTCTGTCCCTCACTACCTACGCATTTGCCCTCTCTGGGCCTCGGTTTCCTCATCTGTAAAATTAAGATGTCAGACTATATGTTCTTTAAAGTCCCTTAAGGCATTAAATCCTATGATCTTAAAGTTTTCAGATGCTTCTCTCTCTGAGTTGGTAGGGTTAAGGTAATAAGCTCTCCTCCCTGTAGAGGGCTCACAGACCCTGCTCGGGAACTGCTGCAGAGGCACCCCTGCTGGAAGAAAAATGCCTGCAATGCACCTAACTCTGGCTTTCACCCTGTGAGCTCATAGGATTCTGAGCCTGCAGAGACCTTAAGTGATCAGCGTCTACCCTTCGCATCTTACGAAGGAGGAATCGAAGAGGGGAAACGACCTGCCTGTAGCCACACAATGAGGCAGTGTCAGAGTCAGGATCCCCACTCCCCCAAGCTTGACCCTCAGGAAAGAAGGATGGCTGAAGGGAGCCAGCAAAGTCCACCTCCATCCTGAGCTCATTCAGACCTGAGTATCTCTCCTCCCCAACTCTCTGGCCACCCCCTTTGCAGGATGAAACTTTGCTGTCTCCTGGGGAAGGGGTTGGGGTTTTATGGAATATATATTAACATGATTTCCTTGGCCTTGCAGGGAAGGTCATCGAATCCATCCACCTGCCTTAAGAAGGAGGGTCTGGTACCACTTACCTGCTGAGATGGATCAGGGCATCCCCTGCTTTTAAGGCTCTCTGGGTTTTACTTTCTCATCTATAAAAAGAGCCACTGGGACTAGAGTTGTTGTGCAGTCATTTCAGTCGTGTCTAACTCCCTGTGACCCCTATTTGGGGTTTTCTTGGCAAAGATACTGGAGTAGTTTGCCATTTCCTTCTCCAGATTGGGACTAGAGATGTAGTTTTAAACTCAAGTCATATGCTTACTTTAAATTTTTAACATTTATCTTACTTATACAGCAACAATCTAAGTCTTTGTTTTTTCTTCAAAAAGATTTGTTAATCATTCTTCTGAACAAAGAGACAGAGGCCGGGGAGGGGTGGGGTGGAGTGGGGTGGCTACAAACTGCCCCAAGAGGGCCCAGGTTTGAAGTCCCTGATCCAGAAGGTCCCTTTCACCTCTTACAAACAAGCAACAAACAAAAAGCCTTACTCTGACCTGGGCAGCCCTCCCTGAAGAGCCAAGTTATTGTTTAAGTTGTCCGGAGGCACACTGTCCTTCCTGATGAAGTCCACTATATTGAGCAGATGGAGGCCCCCAGAGGGAAGTGAAGCTTGCAGTTGATGCTGCAGTGCAGCTGTTTTTTTTGGTGTCAGCAAAAAAAAAAAAGTCAGAAAACAGGCCATTCTGGACAGAGAAAGGGACCCCTGTGGTTGGAGAGGTACCCATGGGGAAAACCCTGGAACACTGTACTTCCCCCTCCCTATTTTTCGAGGTAGAATTCAAGGAGAATAGAGTTTCTAACTAGTAATTCTGTGCTAATCCCATTGTCTCCCCTACTAATTATACATATTATGCTCAATCTTCTTGAAAGAAAATGAGTCTAATGAGGAACATTCTGTTCTTTTTCAGGTCTGATATTTAAGGTACAGGTGCCATTGACTTCCTTGCCCTTGAAACTGCTGCCAAGTAGAAAAGAATTCAATACACAGTATTACAGAAGGAAACACCCAGAAGTTGAGAGATGCTAAAGCCAGGCGAAGCTTGGGGTTGTGGGTGGTGTGGAAGCAAGAGTAGGAGAGGTGGAGAGAGGAAGGCAATGAGAGAAAGGGGAGGTGAAGCTTCTCCTCCTCCAGGCATTTTGGTGAAGGAAGAGAGGGTGATGTGAATACCGACTGAAAATGTGTGTAGGGAGGAGGTGGAAAGGAGCCTGGTTCATCTTCAGTGTCTTCCTCACCCCAGTTGCCACATCTGCTGCCCTTCCCTATACTATCCTAGTGAGTTGGAATCATAGAATCCCAAAATCATGGGATTTAGAGTTAGAAGGAGTCTTAGAAATGATCTGGAGCAGCCTTCCTCTTCCACAGATAAAGAAACTGAGGCCCAGAAAGAGTTAGTGACTTGTGTAAGATTATATAGCTAACGAGCAGTAATATCTGATGTTTCAATGGTACTCTAAAGAGGCAGCTGGTGGCTCAATGGATAGAGCACTAGGCCTGAAGTGAGGAAGACCTGAGTTCAAATCTAGCCTCAGACACTTCCACACTGCGTGACCCTGGACAAGTTACTTAGCTGCTGATTGCCTGACAAAATGGGTCCACTGGAGAAGGAGATGGCGGACCACTCCAGCATTTTTACCAGGAAAATCCCAAATGGGGTCCTGAAGGGTCAAACATGACTGAAATGATGCTAGTACTCTCAGGTTCGCCAAGCATGCATCGCTTCATTCCAGCAACAATGATGTAAAGTAGTTGGTATTTTTATTCCCACTCTACAGATGAGGAAATGGAGACTCACTGAGATTAAGTGACTTGCCTATGACTATCCCACAGCTAGATGGCTCAATGGATAGAGCTCCAGACCAGAGTCAGGAAAGCCCATCTTCCTGAGTTCAAATCTGGCCTCAGACAGGTACTAGCTGTGTGACCCTGGGCAAGATTACTTCACCCTGTTTGCCTCAGTTTCCTCATCTGTAAAATGAGCTGGAGAAGGAAACGGCAAATCACTCCAGTATCTCTGATTAGAACACCCTAAATGGGATCACAAGGAGTTGGGCACGACTGGAATGACTGAACAACAACAAGGCTACAAGGTTAGTGTCAGAGAAGAATTTGAACTCGGGCTTCCCTGACTCAAGGCCCAGTGCTACGCAGGGCTGCTTCTACTAGGTAGCATAAGTGAGCTTAATCATGGGACCCCCATCTGCAAATCTTTTGAGGTCTTTTTTTTGGAGGGGGGGATGCTAGGCAGTTGGGGTTAAGTGACTTGCCCAGAGTTATACAGCTAGTAAGTGTTATGTCTGAGGCTGGATTTGAACTCAGGTTCTCCTGACTCCAGGGCCAGTGCTGTATCTACTGTGCCACCTAGTTGCCCCCCTTTGAGGACTTTTTTGGCTTTTTTTGGCGGGGGGAGGGGAGTCATTTGGGGTTAAGTGAATTGTCCAGGGTCACATAGCTAGTACGTGTTAGAGCTGGATTTGAACTCAGGTCCTCCTGACTCCAGGGCAGGCTGCACCAATTTGATGTCTTACAAATCACCGGGATAACTCACAAGAGCTAGAAGGGAAGATCAAAGGTCTCCCAGACTAAAATTTCAGAGAGGATCCCCTTGACATAGAGGTTGTTAGGGTGTTAGCCTGCAGTGTAATTTAAAGGACCTGCAGATTGAGGGAGAGGGAGGAGGAGGACTATGGCAATCGTGACCATCTTGTCTGTGCGCTCAGAACTCTGAGCCCAGCCACAGAGAGGTGCCTCAGTGCACTGGGGAGAGGCAGAGTGTCTGGGGAGGATGGGAGGAGGACGTGGCAGGGAGTGAGCGCCCAGAGAGGAGAGGCAGAGTGTCTGGGGAGGATGGGAGGAGGACATGGCAGGGAGGGAGCCCCCAGAGAGTGGCACTAGGAGAGGTTTCGTGCTTCCCCTGTTGCACAACCCCCTTCCTTCACTTCATTTATTCCCCTTATTCTGTCTTCACTCCTGTACAACCACCCACACTAGGTTTCCCTTTTTTGCATCTCCAGGGCCTCTCCCCCATCTTTTGGTTGTAGGTGGCAGAGTCAGTCACCTGCCTTCTCCTGCCCAAATGACAGCTGTTCACGCTTTTCCCTTGCCTCATCACCCGCTTTGTTACCCTTATTCTTTTGCGCCTTGAGTGTGGAGGGGCTGAGCTCTTCCCTTCAACCCAGCTCCATCATCTCTGGTTCTCATGTGCTTGTGATTTTGTCCCCAGTGCCATCAGCATCGAGCATGGAGGTCACAGTTCCCATGACCCTCAATGTCCTCAATGGCACTACTGTGCGCCTGGCCTGCACCTTTAACTCCTGCTACACAGTGAACAATAAACAGTTCTCCCTGAACTGGACATACCAAGAGTGCAAGAATTGCACTGAGGAGATGGTGAGCAGGGCTGGGAGATGGGATGGGGGCTCAAGAGCAGCTGAGCTTAATGGGTAAACTGTCTTCCCTCTGGCTGAATCTAAAGTCCATCTGGGCTGGAATTTCTGCCCAGATCAGGGGGCTTCTTTAAGGAAGCTATGAGGATAGAAAGGCAGAAGAACAATAATGGGAGACCTATTTCTGTCCAGTGTTTTGGGGTGGTGGGAGGAGGAGGGAGGGAGGGCTTTTTGGCAACCAGGGTCTGGGCCTGGGAGGGAGGTGAGAGAGTATGGTTGGTATTTTTGTGGTAGCTTTAAAAATTCCCCATTCTGTGCTCCCTTTCTTTCCCCTTCATGACCAGTTTCTTCAGTTCCGGATGAAAATCATTAACCTGAAACCAAACCGTTTTGGGGATCGAGTAGAATTCACAGGGAACCCCAGCAAGTATGATGTGTCTGTGACCCTGAATAATGTACAGCTGGAGGATGAGGGCACCTACAATTGCTATGTCATGAACCCGCCTGACCGCAACCGTGGTCTAGGCAAAATCTACCTACAGGTCCTAACACAAGGTAAGCCTCAGGGTAGGAAGCCAGGGGAGGGAGTAAGTGAGTCAGGGCAGCTAGAGGGAGATCCTCTCCTCCTCCTCTCCTTTCCTCTTCTCCCTCTCTCTTTCCCTTTTCCTCCTCTCTTCTTCCTTCCCTTTCTTTTCCTTCCTTCCCAAAGACGAGTGGAAGTAGCCCTCAGAAGAACTATTCACCAACCAGGAGTAATTGATGGCAGGTGAGTGGGGAAAGCTGGTGAAATTATTTGCTCAATCTTTTTCTTGAGCGGGCAAAGCATCTTGGTGAGTTTTTTTTTTTCATTGTAATGGGCAGGGCTGTAAAGTAAGACATGTGGATTCCATTCCAGGTTCTGGCCCTGACTCTAAGCCCCGGGAGAGAATAAGGGTTAGAAAGCAGTTCAGGGTTGGCGATCCTGCCTAGTCACCAACCCCAGTGTCATCTGTCCTCCCTTCCTCCTATCAGTGCCCCCTGAACGTGACTCAACGGTGGCTGTGATTGTGGGTGCCTCAGTGGGTGGTTTCTTGGCTGTCGTCATCCTGGCACTGATGGTGGTCAAGTGTGTGAGGAGGAAACAGGAGCAGAAGCTGAGCGCGGATGACCTGAAGACCGAAGAGGAGTGTAAGACAGATGGGGAGGGCAATCCAGAAGATGGCACCAAGTAAGGGCGGGTGGTCTCTTGGCCTTCCTCCTCTCCTGCCTACCTGTCTCCCTCTCATTTCCCACCCTATACTGTGTGCTCCTTGCCTACCCTCTCAGTGTGCTTCTCTTAAGCCAGGATTCCAGCCCCCAACTCTGCCTCCTCCTCACAGACCTCCCTCCCCCCCTGCCCTAAGAGTGACTCACCTCTCTTCCATCAGAGACGCCCACCATTAAACCAGCTGGGAACTGAAGTTCAGACTGGGTGCAGGAAAACAAAGGGGCCTAGTAGATACCACTGCCCATATAAATGCCCATCTTCTTCCACAAGAAGAAGGTAAAATGGGATGGCCATTCCTGCATGAGAGGTAAGGAACTCATGCCAGGATCCTAAAGATGAAGTGTTGGGAGAAGATGATGGAGGACGAAGAAATAAGCCCCCTCAGCCTGTCCAGTACTTGGTTTGAGCCTCTACTACTGTATCAGTCTTAGAGAGAGCCCTGTTTAAGGGGCTGTTCTGGCATTATTGGAGCTACCCCTGAAGATGATCCTATCTGCTGGTTTCTGCAGAATTCCAGAGATTTTTTTCTAACAGAGAATCCCCTCAAAGCTCATCAAGTTTTTTAGGGGTGTCTGAATGAGTTTCTATAGTTTGGGGGTTTCTGGTAGACTAGTGTATTTACTAGATAGTGAAGGCTGGGAGCAAAACCCAGGAGAAGCAGGAGCTTTTGTCTCAGTATTCTCTGTCTTGGCCCTGTTATCCTCCCCAGATCATCTACAAAGTTCTTCCACCTCATTATTCTATGCCCAGGAACCCCTTGGGTTTTTAGGGTGATCTTACTAGAAGAAATGGGAATCACTTGAGCTGGGCATGGGTGAAGGGAGTGTGTAGTTCCAGCTAGGTATGCTGACTGGGGGTGGCTATTTTGGCACTGGTTGCCTAGTGACAGGAAAGCCTCAGTTGTAAATCTGGTTAGTGGTGGAGACACCTTTTACTAGCAGTCTCTGCTGACTGCCTTCTCAGATGAGATGCTCACTTCCTCTCCCTTCTCCCAACCTATGCCTTAGGAACACTCAGTGTGTGTGTGTGTGTGTGTGTGTGTGTGTGTGTGTGTGTGTGTATGGGAGAATGGTAAGAGCAAAGGGAGACACATTCTCAGCTGAAGTATGAGTACTGAATGTGGGACTCAGAAGAATGGGGATAGTGTCTTTCCAAGGTCCACTTTGGACAGACCATTTCCACAGGGTCTCTGACTAGTTTGATTTGCTGTCCAAGTCCATAAATCAGGTTAGAGACCAGAGATGAGGTGGGATGAGGAGGAGGTGTTTTGGAGGGGGCTTCAAATCTCCTTATCATTTAGACCTAGAGTAGACCTCAATTCTGCCCACTTATGGTGATGGGTGGGACTAGGGGAGAGGAATCAAAGACACTACCTGAGAGGAGACCTAATTTTCACTGCCAATTTTCCAGCTACCCCAAACCAGAGATGTAAGAGTTGCTTCAACTTGTACTTTCCTTAGCTCCTTCAGGAGGAAAGATGAAGTCTGGAAACATTCAGTCAGGACACTGAGTCCTCTGAGGATTCCACCACACTCTTCCCTGGTTCATCTGTGCCCAGGAAGAGTCAGGCAGGCTAACTGGTTCTCTAGGCTGCAGGAGTTTTTTTTTTCCTTTAGGCTTCTGGATAGTTAAGAGGGAGTGTATGGAATGCCCTCCTTGGGCTGTAGATGAAGGGGGAATTGATCATTGCCTTTCCTTTCCTTACTGTAACTCCTCCAGACATTTCACAAAAGGATTCTGCTGCTTTGCTTTAAAAAATGTATTTGAAACAGAGGGAGTCAGAATAATGGGAAATGGAAACACTAAAGATGTTGGGAAATGCCTTTATGCTACAACCTAGGCTAAATTCACTCTGAGCCCTGGTTGGTCCCTTGCTCCATCCCAGTATTGCATCTCTAGGGGACAAAATGTCAATGGCAGGGCATGTGGGTGAAAGAAGAGGTGAAGGGAGGGGACTGAGACAGTCTTCTGAGACAACATTCTTGCCCCCGACCACCTGGCCTCTCAGGTTTCTGTGGCTCAAAAAGAACTGGGTAAGACAGTCTGAAACTCTGGGGATGCACACGAAGCCATAACAGATAAGCGAACTACCAGCTCAGCTCTTTGTGGGACCAAGATTATAATAATTTTTTTGTGTGTGCATCTAATTCCATCTCTGTAGCTAAAGCCTAAGCCATTACTGCTGGGTTGGAGTTTGGGAAGAGATGGAGTAGGAAAAGAGGGTGAAAGAATAGGGGAAGGGGAGAGGAGTTTCACCTCCAAGGGTTGAAGACAGAGCTGCTCTAGGGCAGGGTGAAACATTACATCCCAACTTTCTCCATCTTGTTCTTAACTGCCAGATCAACACTGCCAATAGGGCTAGGGTGGAGTGAAGTTCAGCAGGCTGGTCATCTGGGGTAGGTTGGTACTGGCTGTCCCTGAGCAGGAAAGGAAGACCATGGGGGGACTCTTACCTGTTTTTATTAGTACCTAAGGAGGGTCACTCACTTCTTCTTCTTCTTCTTCTTTCTTCTTCTTCTTCTTCTTCTTCTTCTTCTTCTTCCTCTTCCTCCTCCTCCTCCTCCTCCTCCTCTTCCTCTTCTTCTTCTGAATGTACCTTCCCTCTGTCCTCTCATCACCTCTAAATTTCCAGCCCATTCTGATTCTGGACACTATTCTTCCCTGGGTTTTTAAAGTTTCTGAGAAGAAGTTGATTTTCCCTTCTTCCAGCCTTTCAAATATTTCAAATATCTCCAAGGGCCAGAGAGGATCTCTTCAAGACTAACTTCAATTAAAAAAAAACAAACAAGCATTGATTAAGCATCTGTTCTGTGTCTTTGGGGTACAAAGACAAAAATGAAACAGTCCCTGTCCTAGGGGAGCTTACATTCTTCCTGGGAGAGGGAATACAACATAAACACAGTCTATACAAAGTCATCTCAAGAGGGAGAGAACAACAGCTTCTAAGGGAATCAGGAAAGGCCTTGTATAGAAAGTGGTGCCTGAGCCATGCTTTGAAAAAAGCTTTGGATTCAAGGAGGTGGAAATGAGAAGGGAGGGCATTGGACATGGGGTGGGGAACCACCTTTGGAAATTCGTGGAGGCAGGAGATATAATGTTATATATGGAGAACAAGTTTGTAGGCCAGTTTGATGGAACAGAGTGCAAAGGGGGAAATGATTGGAATCATATTGGAGAGGGCTTAATATTTCTACTTTATCCTAAAAGCAATAGTAGGTCACTAAGAAATTTTGAGTAGGAAAGGGACATACTCAGATCTCTGCTTTTTTTTTTTTTTAAACCAGACCTGTGATTTCATTAGTGCAGGGAGTTTTCTCCATCAAAGCATATTGACATCTAGAGCCTGGGGAAGTGAGAGTAAGTGACAGGTAACCAGTATGTATCTGAGGCAACATCTGAAGCCAGGTCTTCCAGATTATGAGACCAGTTCTCTAACCAGTATACCGTGCTATTGAAAAATCTATACTTTAGGAATCCTAATTTGGCATGTGTGTGTGGAATGGATTAGAGACAGGGAGGGAAGGGGAAGAAGACTAATAAGGAGGCCATCGAAATAGTACAGGAGTGGAGAAATGAAGACCTTGCCTAGGGTGAATAGAGACTTTGTGAGTGGAGAGAAAGGAATGAATTAAAGAGCTATGGAGGTAGAATTAACAAGATTTGGTCAATAGAATAAGGAGGTGAGGAGAGAGAGGGAAGAGTTAGAAGAGATTCCAAGGTTGTGACCTGTGTGAGTGGTAGGATGGTGGTGCTCTCAAAAGAAAAAAAAGGGAAATTTGGAGAAGTGATGGGTTTTGGAAGACAGAGAGAGAGTTTGGACATGTTGAATTTGAGATGCTGAAAAGATGGAATGTCCAGGTAGAGATGTCCTTCAGGCAGCTGGTGATATGGAACTTTAGGTGACACATAGATTGGAGAATCATCTTCATAGAGATGACAATTGAATCCATAGGAGCAGATCACATCACTAAGGGAGACTAAGGAGAAACAGAAGAGCTAGAACTGAGTACCAGGGTATTCTCACACTTATTGGATGTGACCAGGATGATGAGGCTGAGAAGAGGTGGTAAAAGAGGCAGGGGGAGGCCCAGAAGGAAGCCAAGGGAGGAGACTTTCCAGGGTAAGGGTGGTCAGCAGTGTTAAAAATGGCAGAGAGATCAAACAGCGAGGACTAAGGATAAGCTATTGGACTGAACAGTTTGATAACCTTGTAGAAAGTAGTTTCAGGGGAAGCTAGGTGGCACAGTGGATAGAGCACCTCAGAAGGACCTGAGTTCAAATCCGGCCTCAAACACATAACACTTACTAGCTGTGTGACCCGGGGTAAGTCACTTAACCTCATTGCCTAGCACCTCCCTTCCCCCCCAAAAAGAAAGTAGTTTCAGTCTAATGGGGTTGGGAAGAGGGTAAAAGGTGAGGAAATGGATGCATTGAGTGAGGATAACTCTTTCTAGGGGTTTAACTGTGAAATGGAAAAGAGATATGGGACTATTGCTTGAGGGAGGGCAGGGTCAAGTGGAAGTTTTTAAGTCTAATAGAGAGCCAGTCAGGAACCAGTATAAGGATTGCCTTGCAGCACATTAGATAACAAAATTGTAGTGAACCCAGTCCACATGATTGTGTGATTTTGTCCCGGATCATTCAACAAGAGAGTAGGAGCAGAGAAGGCAGAGTAGACCAAGCACAGAAGTTTGGCAGGGTTTGACTGATGACGGGGTAAGGGAGCAAGTGATTCAAGAATAGCTGGTAAGGTACAGTTGACTTGATTGACATAGAATCAAGATTATGAAAGGAGAGAGGAAAGGCTAGAAAAGGGGCAATGAATTAGGGGGACAAGGAGGCAAGGATGGAGATTAAGCCTGGGAGGAATGAGATGGAGGGCAAGGTTGAAGGAGAGAGGATTGTGGCATTTCAGCTGTCTGGCCCATGAAGGCAGAAGAGTTGTGAATGATTGTCCATCCCTCTGTGTACCTGAAGTAGAATGAAGATGGAAGCTATGGGAGTTTAGGAGGCTTACAGACTAAGGCCAAGGTATTTGAGAGGACATTAATGCATATATTAAAGCTCCCATGTATTTGGGGTAAGAAGATTGTGACCAAGGTATTGAACTCCTTGAGAAAAGGTGGAGAATGACTTCAAGGCCTGGGGATTATTTTGACAAGAGTCAGAACCAAGTAAAAAAGATGGATGGAATGAACCTCAAAACAAGATAGGTTGTTGCATAATGGTGGTAAAAGTACAATCTAGAAGTGAGAGTGAGGAGCAGATGATGTGCCTACTTTTTCTTCTGGCTCAGTATGTCAGGGAGAATGGACATACAATGCTTAAGAGAATTGCTAAAGATGCATTGTTTGCTGGAGTTTTCATTATTGCAAGAAGATGGAAAATGTGAAGTGAAAAGATACAGTATAAAGAGTAGATTGTTCACAATGGAATAGAGGCTACAGAAGGTTTAGTGGGAGGCAGGGCATGGCAGAAGATCTGGACTACGCATGGGAAGGAATGAGTTAGATCAGGATGAAAGTACACAGAGAAATAGGAAGAGCTTTTGCCTCATTTGCCATTGACTCTGAATCATGGGGATGAGGGTGTATGTGGGATTTTACCCACCATTTAATGGGGAATTACCAGTTCACAGGAGTTATCAACCTTCTAGGGTGATGATTGAGCACAGAGTCAGTTTGGGTCCCACTGGTCCTGACGCCCAGAAGCCCAGACCTCAAGGATGGAGAAAGAATAAGAATTAGATTTTGTGCTTTGGATTTACACCTGAGCCTCATCTTAAGATGGTGGGGATCGTAGATCTACCACTAGAAGAGACCTCACAAGCCTTCTGGCCCAACCCACTCCTTTTACAGACAACAAAGTTGAGGTCTTAAGGACTTTAAATGACTTGCATAGGGCCACACAGGTAGTGTTAGTTGTGGGATCTGAACCCAGGTCCCCCTGACTACACAGGCAGTGTTTCTTCTGCTTGTATTACAAGGAAGTACACTCAAGAAATACATAGCCTGGCTAGGTGTGCAGGTACTCAGCTCTCAATATCTGGAAATAAAAGCTTTCCCACACAGCTGCCCCTCATCCGCACCCCCTCGACGACTTCTGGTGCCCTGAGGCTCAGGATCTGTGTAGATCCATCCTTGGTGCCTAAAGGCTGAGGCCAGAGATGAAAGTGAGAACCAGTGTTAGGTTCCTGGAAGGCTGAGCTCCACCCATGCTCTTCACCCATCCTGGAAGTTCATCTCAATCTAAGTGGCAACAAGGCATATTCAGGAGAGAGTCTTGCTCAGCCATGATCCCCTTTGGTTTCAGCATCCTTCAGTGATGATTCCTGTGAGGTCATCCAGTTAAAACAGGGATGTTGCTGGGTTTACCCCATAATCATTCCCCTTTGTTGGAGGTGGGGAGGACTTGGTCCTAGGGCCAGCAGTTATCAGGACTGATAGCATTTTGAGAAGTTATTTGCAAGGCCTTCTAGCTTTATTCCAAGAGCTCCTGAGAGGAAATCAGGATTCTGGTACGCTTTCCCCAGCTTTGAATCTGTGGTAAAAGCTTCGGGACTCATGCCCTTAGCTAGAGAAGAAAGAGGATTAGACATTGAGAGTACCCAGTGGTACCCATCTCCTCTATGTTTTCAACTGTCTGCTGAACCTAAGACTCTCCTTTCCCTACACTGCCCCTCCCAAGCTGCCTTTCCTTCAAAAGACTTAGCCTTCCCCCTGTTACCCTCCATTGGGACATCTGAGTAATTTCTTTCCTTGCCCTCAAGTAGGCACTCATTAACTTCATTTTTAGCTATAGCAGCCCTTTCTTTCCTCTGACCCTTTCCCCAATATTGTTCTAGGATTGCCATCCACTTTTCTTCTGCTTTCCTTCCCAAGCCTCTTTCCTTGTGAAAGGAAATGGGCTGGTCAATCATGAAAGTTAGAGTTTATGAAGAAAGCACAAATTTTCAGGATTGAAATGCCTTGGGATGCCTTGGATCCTGTCTTGTAAAGAACCCCTTGCCTACTTGTCCTGAGTCATTATTTATAAAAAGAAAAAAGAGAAACTGATATCATATGCTTCTTAGGAAAGGGTGGGCTAGTAGTTATTTACAAGGGAAAGTAAATCAAGTGGATAATGAAAGATACTGGCCAGGTCCAGAGTGCTAAGTCTGGGCCACAAGAATGGCCTGAATCATTTGGAAAGGGTAATGAGATTTTTCCTTCCTATCCATGTCTTAATGGACAGAAAACCCATGTCTTCAGTATTTCCTATCTCTTGCTGATGTCTTCCTTTAATTGCAACTTGTTAATGCCTCCGTATATAGATGTGCTATGTGCTCTATACATACACATACTTCTGCATGTATGTGTATGTTATCTATAGATATAAAAACATCTTGCTGCACTCACCATAAGCTTGTTTTATTTCAAGGTGTTGTTTTCTCATTGTTTTTTTTTTTCTGGGCTGATTTCACCAAGACCAAATCATGGAATGTTATATTGCTTTTTGTACCCTTGGAGGAAAAAAAAACATCTCACAAGACTAAAATTTGCATTTAATAGTTTGTGTGTGTGTGTCAATCAGTGGGGGGGGAGGACGTACTGGAGGGGATGCACCAAGAAATGAAAGTAGTCCTATATCACTGCCGATGTACAACTTGGGGAAGAAGATGTTTCTCTCGAGGAGTATTATTGTTTGGATCTGTCTGTCATAATAAACAGTTTGCCTCCACCCAAACCACCTGAAGTTGTGCCTCTTTGGGAGAGGGGAGAGAATGTGAGTGGGCTAGAACATCATTGCAGGAATACCCTCTCGTTTCCCTAGCTCCTTGGTACCTTTCACCTGAGCATCTCAAAACTACAAAATGCTAGAGCTGGAAAGAAACTCTGAAACTTACAGCAACCATGGTACTGGCCTAAGGTCACACCCATAGGAAATGGCAGAGCCAGCCTCTGTCCCATTCCTAAAGCCAATAAAGACAAAGCACTCTTCCCCTATCTTCTTTCCATTCCTCCCCAGCCCTCCACATCAGTTCTCCTGTGGGTCAGTGTTCTGTCTCTCTGTCTACCCCTCCTCAACCAGGGTTCTTAGGATACTGTTGGACCATCCACCTAGATTGGAAGGAAGAAAACAAGCATTTATTAAGCACCTATATGTACCAGGCACTGTGCTTTTAAACCTTTTACAACTATTATCTCATTGGAGCCTCACAACAGCCTTGGGAGAGCTGTTCCATTATTATACCCATTTTACAGATGAAGAAGCTGAGGTAGGCAGAGGTAAAGTGACTTCCTGTGGCAAGCTGGTAAAGGTGTGAAGCTGGATTTAAACTCAGGTCTTTTTGGCTCTAGGCCCAAGCTTTATCCTCTGTGAGGAAAGGGTGTATAGAATGACTGCACCTCCATCCCAAGCTCCTTGCATGTGGAGCGTCTTTGTCTTTTTGGTCATTGGATCTAGCCCTAGAATAAAAGAGAGCTGCCATGTTGCTGACGTTGCCACCCGTATTCCTCCCTGGTGCTAGAAGAGCTATATTCTTCCTTTTCTTCAGCCTCCAGACAGTGCCTGACTAAGAAGACATTTCTCCTGCTGCTGTGGAGGCAGTGATAATGGAGAATAACCGGCCAGTGTCCTTTTGTAATACCCTCTTCTGTTCTCCAAAAGTTTGGGGGGGGGGGGTTGCATGAATGGAGAGAGGAAGGTGATGATGATGAAGATCTAGGCTTCACGATAATACCTTTCATTTGCATAGCATGTTCAGGTTTTCAAATAATTTCCAGCCTTTTTTCCACAAACAAACAGCTTCTTTGGATTAAGATACTATTTTTTTTTTGAAACTTTCAAAGCGTGGGATATGGAGTAAGGTGCATTAGAGGGAGTTTTCTACTGTGCAGATAGGTAAACTGAATCATGGGTATTTGCTAGAGGCAAAGATGAAAAAAAAACCCAGGAGTCCTGACCCTTAAGGCATTCTGCTTGGCTTATTCTACCAGGACAGAGTTAGGAAGCAACGCAATGCAGAAAAAATCCTGGTGTTCTGCCAAGCTAGGCACCTTCCCTGACCCTGGGAAGGGAGGGAAGAGGGAGCTGGGACTGGGGTTGCAGTTGGCTTGGGCAGCCCCATTAATGAGAATTTGTGGAATTGTCAGTTGTCAGGGAAAGTGCCCCCACTTTGTGGGAGAAGGGTTGGTTCCCACTTCTGATGGCCGATTCAATTGTCAGTTGCCTATGCCCAGTTCTTGCCACGAAGGGGAAATCTGTGAAAAGTTGCTCTGGGTTGCCACCCACTCCTACTCCTACTTGTATAGGGCAAATG